ACGGGTTTCCCCAAGGTTTCCCGGTGATGTGCCTGCTAGACAAGTTACAACCGCTACATGCGATATTCCCTTCTGACCCCATTCGAAGCTCCTTTCTAAGTTTCATCTAGCGTTTGGTGGATGAAAGTTCGCATCTGTCTAGGTAGAACAGACGATTGATCAATTGGATCCTCCCATGTCGTTGTCGCTATGCGACTGACTGGAAGGCGCTCGATAGGCTCGCTAAGCACTCGAGATGTTAACTAGGGGGTGCGTTCAACTTCCTAGCATTATATCGACAGAGGCTGAACTGTTGCAGCATTCAGCAGTTCATTGGCGATTTCACTGCGTTCAGCGGGGACCTAGACGCGAAATTGCTTAGCTCCAGGGACGTTTGCCTGTAGCCATAGACGCCAAATTGTTGTGTCCAAGTGCGGCCATCTGTGAGTGTCTGCCCGCTGAACGCAGTATTTTACCACACAAAAGGCAGCCACTCCGCCCACCCTTCAAGGCGTAAATATTGGCCTTTTTTCTGTTCTTGTGCCGTTCTACTTTTAACCTTTGCACGCCAAGCCTTGGGTATGCATCTTCCGTTATTGTTCCAAAAATGGGGAGATTCCTATCTCATCTTGAGCGCTTCACTCAAGTGTTGTTCACCAGTGGCCCCCTCAGGTCTGTTCATTTGCTACCATCAACGTGGAATCCGGAGCGGCTCCTGGGCCCTTTATATTGGGGCTAATAATGCGGCAAGCGAAAGCCTCAAGAAAATTGCCAACACTCAAAGTGTCCTCGAGGGTCATCACCGATGCTGCCAACCTTGGAAAAATGCTCTACAGCTATGTTGACTCCCGTGCTCTGCCAAGTTCTGTGATAAAGATCTCTGAGTCTCTTCACTGAATGTGCCACCGGATAATGGTCTCCACATCTCACGAAGAGAACTCCAGGGGCATCATGCCAATTAACTTCCCGTTGCCATCGCCCCCCGAAGAAACGTCGGAACTCCTCTAGAGAGCTTAAAGCGTGGTCGTTCGGCGGTCCAACCGTCGCATACCTCCTCCGAGCCCCGACATACACAATGCGCATCCTTCTGAGTCTATTCCGATCGACCTTCCTGCTCTGCATTCTTTCCTGCGCTGTATACGCATCCTGGGCTCCGCGCGCCAAGCGCCTCTCCCCGCTCCGGCCACACAAACACCACAGCACCCTCAACCAGCCGGGGGTTATCCGCGGCCTCCTGGTCCCTCGCCAGGGCGTCTGCGACCCCGGCTTCTTTCCGTGCGACGACTCGCTTGGGTGTTGCCAGAGCGGGGAAACTTGTTGCACTGGTGGGCCCTCGTCGTCCTTTTAAATCCATGTTATGTTATCTAAATACTGGCTTGTAGGTGGTGGATGCTGCGAAGCAGGGTACGGATGCATTGTTATTTTATTGAGCGTAGATGATGATAATAGGATACACCCAGGTTTTATTGCGACACCATCGGCTGTTGTGCGAACGGCGAGACCTGTGGCGGAGCCACCACCGGATGCACGTCGTCTGAGGACACGCCTTGTGGCAGTTTCTGTTGCCGTACGTTCATTCACGCATGGAGTGGCTGTCTGTTGACTCACACGTCTTGCTTCAGGCCCCAGCGAGTCGTGCGGTAAGATAATTCATCGGTGCTTGCTCCCAGGAATTCCGCTGACAACCGCGGGTCTTAGTTAGTGACTCGGATGGCGAACTCGACTGTCAGGCGGGTGGGTCACCTACCACCAAGCCCCCGCCGCCGCCTACTACACAGAAAAAGACCACGACTACTACGCAACGAACCACCACGACCCACCACGAAATTGAAACCACGCCGACGCCCGAAACTTCGACAGATACCGGTGCGTTGTCCCCGACTGACTAGGGACGGCGCGTAAGCTGACCAATTTTTAGATGACTCAGGGCCTGGCCAGCCGACAGATTCTTCCGACTCGGAGACATCGATCGGGAGTGGAGGGGAAAACACCGTGATCGGCAGCACGCAGACCGCAGGCTCGGGGGCAGGGAAGTCTTCACCCACGAGTATCAACACGTTGTCGGGTGGCGATGTAGGTCCTGGGCCCACGCCGGGGGTCCCCGACTCGGCGTCCCGGAATGCTGTTGGCGCTCTTTGGGTTTCGCTGTTCGTGGCCGCTGCAGTGGTATGATTCCGGGGGGGAATGGGTGGGAAAACTATATTCCAGCGATGAGTGGGTTGTGGTGATTTGCTGGAAGTGCTGGGAAGGACGTGAAGGGTAGGGCTGATATACCATAATTTTGTTCCTACAACACTTGGTGTGAGTTGGGCCCGAGGATATGTCGAAATGCAATGCGCCTGGATGTCCCGGGCCAACTCCAATACGAATTGAAATCGTCCCTTGCGAATGGTAATCAACGACATGCATATTGGGCGTCTCTGTCTAAGCAGTGGAGCCCGTGCCTAAGGTTGCGGCACAACATTATAAATCCAAGAAAATCAGTTGCAACTGTTCAACTGTCACCCCATGACCAGAATTCCGTATCGATGTTCCTTTGTTTGTCCGTGCATCCATTTTGCCTCGACGCGTCACGACCGCGTGCGTAGGATGGTGCGCCTGAGTCATCAATTACTCAACCACGTGTCCATACTCATCCGTCAGCCAGCATAATGAATTCAACATCAAGATTGCCATATGTGCGCGTTGTTCGTGGGCAGACTGGCATAGATATATATATAGAGTTCAATTTTTCTGTGAGTATCCCTTCAACCTAGACGAAAGCTAATGAGTAATGGATTTGCTGATGACACTCAAGAGCGAGGTATATTTGAACTGCATATGTAGCGCAGTATCTCCTATAGTTTGAAAATATCCCATTACATCGAAGTTTAAAGAGGCCTAGGGCTCGATACCGCATGGCACAAGAAATATGGAGACACATTCTACCACTCTGCAGTCTAGGGCATTTAAAGATACTGCACCAAGTCGGAGTTCACCTGAGGATCCGCACACATGGGTGAAGCAGACTTGCATTCGGAATTTCCGATCGATGTGGAGCGGCAACTCGTAGAAGTGCAGGGAACCCAACGAAGCTGCCCTGTGAAGCACCGTACACCGAGGGGGAGAGCCACGGGCTATAGAAATTGAAGGGTAAGTAGACGCACGCGGGTCAGTAGAACATTTGAAGGGGCACTTTCCTATAGGTATAGCACAGATCTGGTGCGCATAGTTAGTCCCAATCTTGAGTGCTATACCAATAGTAAGCGCGTAGGTAGGTAGGTAGGTATGTATGATCCCATGGCACCATCTGAATAACGAACGCCACGGTAGAACCCAGTCGACGTCTAAAAGCGTTTGCCACTTCACCGGAATAATCCTTCTGCACCCGACAATATTATGTCCTATGCTTGGAAATTGGATAGGAACTGAATGAAAGAGTGGCATGCGCAAAGTAGCCATAAGGAACACGATGTTGAAGGGTGATGGACAGCGCGCGGGAGGTTGGGTTGGTAGTTCCTTCGCGCGCGGTCGATAGTCTTGGGTTGATCTCGTACATCCGACTACGCCCCGGGCGGTGGATGTGCAAAGTTCCACAGAACTTCGAATTTGCGTTTCGCCAGGATCCTGATGGACCATCCATCTCACATTGGCAGTTTTAGTGTTAGATTTCCGTCTGGAATTGGCATATGCAACACAGCCCTTCCGAATGAGACAAAGCCAACTTGGGTGACCGAATGCCTGCCGCTGAGGTCGTTGAGGGTTCGACTCCCCATGTTTGATATTCGAGTTTGAAATTATCGTTTTTGTACTATGGAGCGTATTGAATCTCCTGGTTGATTTGCCCCGGGAGAAACAGCTGACATCCGAATGGCTCCTCTTACCCGAACAACCTTATTTTGAGAACCTTTAGCTGTCGGCGTGGGGAAGCCAGATTGAGGCCGACGGTCACACCCAACTCGGGCCTCCTTCCACTGTACTCCATTCAATGCTATTTTTTATCCTTTTTGGAAGAATGGTGGGATAAGCGGCGTAGACTTCTTACACGTCCTAGCCATTCCATTTCAGAACTCGATCTCGCGTACTAGATATTAGATAATGCCAGTTCAGGAAGAGGGGATTTCAATCGATGATCAGGAGTACTGGAGACGAATGCCGCCGGTGAATTCGACGGACGGTTGAAGCCCTTCGGGCGTCTCGGGCTTCCTCTGACCTGGTCACGTGGCGAAGACGTGACTAAAGCGATGACGCATGCCCCTTGTCTCCCTCGTCTCCGAGTCGATGCATATGCTCCAACGGCGCGGGCCTCAAGCTCCCTGCTTGCCTTCCTCGAGGACATGATGACCTGCATCCCTGACGCGCTCAACCCTCTCTTCCTTCGCTCGACACTCGTCAAGCCATCCTCCACCGTGCTCCACTCCTCCGACTCCGAGGCTCCGAGGCTAGCTTTGCTGCTGTTCTTTGCTCCCTTCCTCTGAGCCTGTGTGCAACCCTCCGGTCGCGACTAGCTCCTATGTTCGCAAGCAATCCGGCTGTTTGTATGTAACGCTATCGAGCACGAGATCCCCTCTCTGTTCCGCAGCTATCTCCCGTCCGGTACGGACTAGTGTCGTGAAGCCGACCCGCTAGAATCTTAGTGTCATTGTAGATGCTCCACGTGCCCCGATTCACGGACATCGCGGAGCTGCGTATGCCCTCCTCGGTTCCCATCCCCGTCTCATTTACGCCGAGCCTGAGCTGCTCAGACTGAACCCGTTATGTACGCGTTCGCAAATGGTATGGCATGGCTCGCAGAGAATTCAGAACCTCCCGCGAGGAAACCCCGATCACATTCCACCTCTTCCATCGGGACTCAAAAGTCTCTCTGTCGGTCACCTGCAACCTACCTGCGCTCACTACTTCTCTTCTCTTCATCTGCCCCTCCGTCATTTACAATCTACCTCCTCAGACTGAAGTCTGACGCCGCGAAATGCTCGCTCGCAGCTTCAGACTATCCAATTCAATCCTTGCTCACGAATCCAGGACCTACTTGCTGAGTATGTGCGCCGGTGGTGTACGGTACACGCCCGTTGAATGTAGTCCCCTTCTTCGCCCTCTGCAAGACGGGATCCCGGGGTTCGACTCCCCGCCGGTGCATGTATTTGTCTGACGCATGTCTTTTTTACGGGGTGGTGGGGCGCTCCTCTTCTCGCAATTCCCTGAACGTGCGCAACTCGTATCTACGCGTCTCGCTCCTCCGCTCGTAGACTCAATTAAATCAGTTTGAGCTCTCCTTGACGGTCCTCGTTTTCCACTATCGATGTTGACGCGTCGTATGTCCTCGACCAAACCCGCCATCTTCTCGCTCGAACCGTATTCACACTTCCTCTATTGTCTCTTGCAATTGCAGGACCTGCATATGGCAGCATGACTTCGTCCGAACGCCTCCCAATTCCTCGTTGGTGTCAGCCAAATGCAGGCCCTGCGTAAAGAATATGCGCGCCGGTGGTGTACGGTACACACCTCAAACTCTATAAAGACTTTGGTTTGCCCCAAGGTCTCACTCCAGAAGATCCGAACTCCCCTCTAATGTCTCTCTCTCTTTAGTGACAGTTTACAGGAGGGTATGCATCCATGTGTCCCGGTGACGTACGGTGCAACCTCAAACCCTTAGTGTTGCAATGTACAAGTCGATAGGGAAGCCGGGGTTCCACTCCCCGCCGGTGCATAAGCCTGGCCCAATTTTTTTTCCTGACGGACTCCCGCGCGGAACCACCAGTCATCTTCAACGTGTTGCGTCGCCTACGGCCGACCTTAAGGGGCGTGCCATTCCACTCACTCTCCTCCCCGGCGAGCGAGCAGCGAGGTGCAACACTGTCGCTGAGAGCCCTCCAGTCTGGAGCGGGATAAAGGCTTGTGTCGGCTATCGACATGAGTATGAATTTGTGTCTCTCGGCGCGTCCCCCGCGGACGGCACGCGTCTCCCGAGCTCAAGTAGATGCCAGCTGCCTCGATATTTGTTAAATTTGGACCAAGAGAATAAAGTCGGAGAAGCCCCGAATCAATCAAATTCATGTTATGTATATTAAATTACAGTCCAGAGGCCTCGTTCAATAGTTACAAGTTTACTACTACTTGTTCCCGGGCTGAATTTGAAGATGTCGTTCCCGAATCCGACAGCTTCGCTGATCCAGTAAGCTTTTCGGTTCCCAGGGACTAACATTTTCGCGGGGCCTTTCCATTATGCCCCATGGTCCAAGCGCTCTGTCGGACAGCTCCTTGGATTGGTACCCGCCGCGCGGGAAACCGAATTTGGGCTGGCGTCAACCCATGTTGTGTGGGAACGGTGACCGTACCCATGGTACCTCCCAGATTACATTGGCAGACTACAGGTATGCAACACCGTCGCCGCTATCTCCAACTCGCCAGCAATGACACTAACACTAGGCTCAAGATGGACAGAAACTCCAGCTGCGTACATAAAATTTCTTCACTTGACATGGATTTGCATCGCAGATATACATTATAATCCGCAGACTCGGTCGTTCTGTGGCATACGAGGATCAGGGCCGAGCATTTGACACGAATACATGGAAATTCAACTCCCCGGGCAGCACTTCGTTTCCCCCACTGTGAGAGGGCCACACACTTCGAAGCCGACCGGGCACGGCGAGTTCTCCAGGATGGTGACCTAATAAGACCCAGAGTGAGCAATTCGGAGGTGTCTGATCAAGCAGCAGTACTGACGCAGCCCGTTTGAGCGGCGGCACTTGCGACGAGGGCAGCGATGAATGCAATGACTTTGAACTGCATGATATGATGTCTGGAGGGGTTGATGGCTCTGAAATTCTGGGACGAGTGCCCTTTTGTATGTGTAGAGAGTGAAAGCGGTACGTTATGTATGGCGTTCCAAGTGCACATTTAATAATCCGCTACTTATTTACAACTTTTTATGTTTTCCGCTACATATATCACGAAAAAAGCTGTTTTCCGCTACTTATGTGGACCTCATAAGGACGACAGTGTATGTCGCGGAAAATCACAATGTCTCGCTACATACATTCGGCAGATTTTGATCCGCGACTTTCTATTTTTAGCCACAGAATTCTCTCGCGACATTCATTCCCGAAAATTTCTCGCGACATTCATTTTTCAAAATTTCTCGCTACATTCATTCTCGGTGTCCAACATTTCTCACGACATTCAAGGCTAAGGCTAAGTTGAAGAGACCCCGGAAAGACTAAGTATGACTAATCAAGTAGCTAGCAATACACTACAGTCTGTATAGTATGGACAATGGCGATGGAAATGGCCTTACAAGCCATCCATGGACATGCCCGAGCCCTCGGAAGAGATAACGGCAGCTGTCGCTGATAGACTGACAGGCGTTCGCCGCTGCGGGGGTGGCTGAGCATGGAGATGTGCCCGTGGAGGATCCCGGCACTGGCACTGCACTGCGGGCTATAGGGGACATGGGATAGTGTCATTGTCGGGGGCAGCATGCTCTCACTGTCACTGGCCTCGCACCTGGCGAGCTCGGCCCGGTCCTCGTGTGCATGTCAGGCACCTCTGTCAGCGACGGTCGTCATCTCTTCCGGCTGGGACATGTCCATGGATGGCTTGTAAAGCCATTTCCATTGCCATTGTCCATACTATACAGACTGTAGTGTATTGTTAGCTACTTGATTAGTCATACTTAGTCTTTCCGGGGTCTCTTCAACTTAGCCTTAGCCTTGAATGTCGTGAGAAATGTTGGACACCGAGAATGAATGTAGCGAGAAATTTTCGGGAATGAATGTCGCGAGAGAATTCAGTGGCCAAAAAAAGAAAGTCGCGGATCAAAATCTGCCGACTGTATGTAGCGAGAAATTGTGATTTTCCGCGACATACACTGTCGTCCTTATGAGGTCCACATAAGTAGCGGAAAACAGCTTTTTTCGTGATATATGTAGCGGAAAACATAAAAAGTTGTAAATAAGTAGCGGATTATTAAATGTGCACTTGGAACGCCATAGTTATGCGGCGAAACACCTTTGGTGCTCCCCCCCCCCCCCTACAAGGTTTCAAATGAAATTTATCACTGTATTAAGCCACGTCATCGCGGGCCGCGTTCACGGAAATTGTCGGCGGGAATTTCGAGCTGGAAGGTGGAGCGTAGAGTGGCTTTGTCGATAATTCATGGGCTGGGTTTTCCTCGACCCTTCGCGGCTCGCGCAACACTACTTTCACTAGCCTAAACAGAGCTGCGGGGCGCTCAAGGAATTATAGACAGGTCTCGAGTAAAGTGGTTACCTCATGTCCATCTGTGAAATGATGTCGGGGGTCATTTTTGGGTTCCTTCTCTCGTGCTGGCGAGTTGGAGATAGCGGCGACGGTGTTGCATACCTGCAGTCTGCCAATGTAATCTTCTCGCGGATACCCGCCTGAGGCAGTAAATATGGACTGGGAGGTACCATGGGTACGCCACAACATGGGTTTACGCCAGCCCAAATTCGGCACGGCCGGAAAGGCCCCGCGAAAAGGTTAGTCTCTAGGAACCGAAATCCACTCGACTCCGACGGAAACCGCGGACGCAAGCAGGTGGATTTACCGGGAAGGGAAAGACGCGAGCAAACCTCGGAGCAGGAACAAGTGCAGACCGATATGTACACAGCGCCTTCCTCCTTTCCGTACCTTACACTCTGTCCAGATGACAGTTCATAGGAGATGAGCCTGGCATGGACGTGCACCGAGGGGTGTAAATTGGGCGGCCGAAGCTCGGGATGCGACAGCAGGCTATGGTGGCGCGCAGGGCAGGTGCACAGCGCGCACGCCCTCGTTTACCCTGGCCGCCATAATGCTTCCTACGGTGTGTCACTGCATCTACCTCCGATTCCGCATGCAAACGGTAAATTTTATGCGGCGTGCCATTCCACTCACTCTCCTTACTCCTCCGGCACCCTTACGCGTAATGAATCCCACCGCCTGCGGTAACCCTTACAGATGTGGGTTGGACCACGCCCGCTTAATTCTCTCCCATTACAAGTTTTGCAGCTTACGGCGGTTAGCTAGCGCCGGTGGTAGACAAATTCAAGTTCAAGTTCAACATTTGTGTCACTCAAGCCATACGTCCGCCAATCCGAGCTGAGTTCAAAAATGCAGAGTGCTGAGATATCTGGAGCTATGCTTCGACCGTCCACATCTCCAGAATTGCTGAACCCCACCGCGCAAGATATCAAGACACCCAAAATTTCATCGACAATCTTCGAGAGTAAAACGACCCTGCTTATAAGGTTGCCTGCAAGCGGCGAGTGAGTCTCCATTAACTAGGAAGGCGAATGGCCGCTTACGTACCCCGCTGAATCAGCAATCGCAGGCCCTCGCCGCCTCCATGCGACCGCTAATAGTGTCGCACTCGCAGACGGTGGGAGTAGCTTGGACGCTAAGCGTGAATACCGCGAGGATGAGGGAGAGAGTTGCGAGGGTGGGGAATTGCATGTTGGAGTGTTTGTGGTGTGGGATGGATGGTAGGATGCAGGCCGCGCGGGGCGGGTTATATACGAAAGATTATGGCTCATTGGGGATACAATTCGAACGACAATTTTGCGGAAACGGCGCCCAAGAACTGATTTGAATACAGGCAGGGCGCGCGAAGGTGGATTGCAGCTTCTCCACGGGTGCCTGATAACCATCTGTTGAGACGTCGTGGATACGGAGAGGAGGGTGGATGAGGACAATCCCCGGTGGATAGGTGGGGCTTTAACTTAGATGATTCTCTTGGCGACAGGTGGCAGACGATTTCTGTCCATCCGCGTCCGTGTCGTCCAGATTCGTACAACTTCGAAGTAGTGCAATTCGGATCGGGGGTTGACGGGGTTGGGTAGCGGCCGCACTAATATATTTGTCAATTAAACTCGAGGCCAGCCTCGAATGCATGAAGGTTGTGTCTCAATCACTGGTTAAATCATAGCGATTAACAGTATTGATAGGACATGAGCACCGGTGGTGGACTGTGGAAACACCTGGCGGAATTGAACTTTGAAGATGGACGATCGTGGGAAGGCCAGTTTCTGTGCATAATGTCCTCGGCCCGCCTTTTTCGACGTGTTGCTTTACTTTGGGCATCAGAGCATCGTTCGTGCTGCATATCAAAGTACGAGCTCCGGCGATTTACGGCA